TTTTGCCCTTAAAGATCCGCAAACTACACTGATTATCCAAAATTTGCTGTAAAATAAGGTAAGTCTCTGACCCACGATGTGTCATTAAGGATGATGTGTAACCAGAACCAGCATATAGAAAATCTTTTCGTGAAGAATACTCGATTTTTGAGACCACTATAGAAAACTTATCAAAACTTATATATAATGCAAAAAAGTAAATATCAGCAAGTATTTCTGATCTAATATTTTCGTTGTAGAACCCAAATACTGCTAAACCCGAATATGCAGTTTTAGTTCCAAATACTTCTTGATATAGTAAGTTAATAGCGGCTGAAGGAGTATCTTGTATATTACTAATTTTTTCTCCAACAGAACACAAAAAACCTGGTTGTAAGGGATTTGAGGGCCTCTTAACAATAGATAAAAAAAAATCATAACCATTTATTTGAGTTATTACGTTCATATAAAGATGAAAAGGAAGAGTTAGTATGCTATTATTTGAAGTTTTTGAATCTTGAATCCACCAATCCCAAGCATATGGTCTGTAATGAAGATTTAGGTTTATTTGCCCTTTATTTATGAGTTGTATTTCATATTTTTTGGTGTTTGACATTTTTAATGAGACGATCTTTCACCATTCCACTGCTATTAAAATTTTACTATTAAATACCCGTCACGTATTACTATTAAATGTCGATCATTTTCTACCCTTTAATTATGATTTTCCACTTAATAAATATAAAAAGTAAGCAAGCTAATATTAGAAAAGAAATAAAATTAAATAACAAAATCCTTTAATTGAAGTAATACTTTTTTTAAATATAGTTTTATTTTTTACTATCATAGAACTTAAGCACAAATCACTATATTGTTTAGCTATTTAAATAATAGATCTAAATTTGTAAACAGTCTCAATAGTATTAAGAATTTTTCAATAATTATATTCTTTATAGTTTTTAAAGGAATCATTACTAATTGTCTTCTTTAATTTATTTTTAATTGTTTTTCTATTGAATGCATACTATAATCTTCTAAGCTTTTTTTTTGAAGAAAATTTTACTATATTAAATATATAATAAATTTTAAAAACAGAAGTAAAAATTTTTTATCTTATAACAATACAAGTAACAAAATTATCAAATTCTGCTAGGTAGTTGTTAAGAAATTTTTTGCTACAGCAATTTTTTAAGAGATGGCAAAAAATTTCCAAAATTTTGACAAAAAATTTCTTAACAATTACTTAGCAAAATTCAATAAAAATTTTTTTAAATAAATTCAGCTAATTTAAAGAATTTATTTAAAAAAATTTTATTAGATTTTATCAGATAGTTGTTAAGAAACTTTCATTTAAAAGTTATGGTAACTTAGTGTAGTTGGTAAGTTGTTGTACCTCCAAGTAGCAAGTCAAGAGTTCAAATCCCACTAGTGATAAAATTTGAATTTATGAAATGTACTGGTAAACTATATCTCATTAGGTCTGCACCTGTAATATGGTTGTATCAGCTAGTATTAGGAGGTTGTAGAACTATAGTGCGATGTATGAGTTATACAAAACCCAAATAAAATAGCTGTATAAAACCAACAGATTAAATATTACAGAAGCCTGCTTGGCAAAACTTGAGTAGAGAGGTAGCACAGATTTTTAATAATACTATATAAAGAATTACCATCTTGAAGACTAGCATAATTGAATGAAACTGAAGTATACAACAAAGCACTCTATCAACCAGGCCACTAAGTCAGCCAGTGAAAGAGATTTGTCTTTTCAGATCATATGAATTAGAAGTTTGGAAAAACTGAAAAGAGGATTGATAGTTTGTATAGTATGTGTTGGGGTTTGGGTAAATTTTATAAGGGTAAAAGTAGATAACAGTAACAGCTTCAGCTTGCAAGTGCTTGCTCTCAAACTTAGCGTATATTACTAAATCTAGATTAGCTGGATTGTAGATATACAATGACGCTTTGAAAATAAAATAGTTTTAAAGGAATAGAAAACGCATTTGGGACTTCTTGACTGATAAATATAATAGAGATATACTGGTGATACAAGTAGGTTGCATTACAGAGGTTTTAAATAGGTAATACCCATAGTTTGGTTACAAGTATAGCATATAGTATAAAACCTATAATAATAGACAAACTACTTAAATTAGACACCAAAAGTGTATGTATAGCAAAATGTATTCTCTAATGTAATAGAGTGTCCTTTTGTAAGCCTTTCTATCCAAATACTTAAATAAAAACCTTAGCACCAAAGAAGCTAGTTGTAAAATTAAAAAAAACTTTCATTTAAAAATTAAAAAATTACTGAAATTTTGTTATTTATTTAGATGATAATAAAAATATTTCTTGAAAAATTTAAGATTATTCAAATGCAAATTATACTACAAATTTTTAACAAAAGAAATTCAAAAAATACTTAAGGATACTAAAAAATTATTGGCATAGTAATAAATGTAGGTTTAAATATTAATTTAGCAAGAAAACAAATTTCTTTGAAATATTTATATATATTGAATATTAGATTTATTGTATATTTATTTAATCTTATTATGAAAGATTTAATCAAACATCTTTTTATAACTAAAATTATTCAATGATGTAAAGTTTTAGTTTTATATTTTAAGAAAGCTATTTATCAAAAAATCTTTTATTAGCTAAAATTTCTAAAAAAAATATATTAGATGGTGAATTAAAAACTTATATTAATACAAAATAGTAACAGTTTATAAAATGTTAAAATTGGATTATTAATTAGAATCATATTTAAAAGAAGTATTGTAAAATTTATATATTAATTATTAATAATATTATTATTAAATATAATTAATTTTTATAATTTTTATTTAGATAATTAATAAAAATCCTTTAGTCATAACAAATGAATCTGTTAAAATAATTATTTGTAGAAAAAGTAGATTTTTTAATAATGTTTATGATTTAGCTAAAATTTTTAAACCAATTAAGAATGCTATTATTAAGTTAGAAAGTAAAAATGCAACATTAGCTGATTGTTATTTTTTATTAATAAGTTTAGAAAATGCAATTTATAAAATGCCTAAAGAAATTTATAAGCATTTTTATCAACATGCTATTAAAGTATTTAATTCAAGATTTGAAGAATATGAATTTGATGAATATTTTTTAGCATATTTTTTTCATTCAGGCTATAAAGGTAAGTTAATTATTATTTAATTTTAAATTATTTAATATTTAAATTATTTAATTTTAAATTATTTAATATTTAAATT